GTGTGGGATGTTTGTTTTTGTTGTTGTTGTCGACTCAGTGTCTTAACTAATGAACTCACTTCAATTGACAATATGGTATATAACCTGCTTCCCAACATACAACATTCACAACACTAACCATGGCTGTCCAGTGTGCGCAGTGCTCTAAGACTATAAGAAGAAATCATCATGCCTTAGAATGTGATCAATGTCAGTCATGGACACACAGGATTTGTGGGACAGGGATGACTCGTATCGGCTACCTAGACTTATGCAGAAGTGGAGAAGAATTTAATTTCTTGTGTCATTTATGCAAGAAATCTATTCCTAACTTCACTCTCCAGTTGGATGCTTCAATAGATGCTCCATCCGTTGCTTTCGATGACACTCTTGAAGTTTAGGAAGTGTAAGTATATTTAACATCATAATGTATAACATATAACTTAATGCCACCAAACAATTATATATATTATATATTTTCAAGTTTATGTATTTTAATAACACAATTTTCTATTGACATAACAGATCAATGGAGGAGGATATTCTTGCGGAGGAGCGGGAGGTGGAAGATTCTCCATACACGTTGGTATCGGATGGCTCACAGAAATCAAAACCCAAGCTGGTAGACTGGAATGGATTCACCTACGTAATAAAGGTATTGTTACATCTTAATCCTATTATATCAACCATACTATACCTGGATATGTCTATATTTTATGTTATTGTTTTTGACGTTATATTAACGTTGTTTTATTACATCTTTCAGGAGGGCGCTCAGAATAAGCTTTACTACAGATGTAGCAAACGTCCCTGTAAGGCAACTGTTGCCGAGACCAATTCAACAGGAGACAGAGTGCCAGGCAATAATAACCACAGCCACACAGTAGAGGCAGGCAAAATTGTTTCAGTCCAAGTAAGAGCTCAGGTGAGTAGTACTTTCTATTGATTGATTCCTAATTAGGATTAGTTAAATTGTCAATTGAACATCCTTACTGTTAATTAGTAGCTGTTAACGAATTGAATGGATTCTTAATTGGATCAATCAACCTTGTTGTTATAGGTGAAGAGGGCTGCAACGCAAGACCTGTTTAAGTCTGCCAGGTCAATAGCTGAGGATGTCACCAGCGATTACATGAAATCTTGGCTACGTGCTTTATTAATGTTATGCTGATATTATGCTATATGTGTCAATAAATAATGTAAAACCTTTCTAAACTTTTTTCTGTTCGGCCCATTTGACTTTCACCTCGGCCCTTTTGACTCTTTGTCACGGCCCTTTTGACTTTCACCTCGGCCCTTTTGACTTTTTCCATCGGCCCTTTTGACTAGGCACTTCTCGGCCCTTTTGTCCTTCGGCCCTTTTGACTAGTTCCCATACAATGTAAGTATGACGTTACGTAGGCGTTTTTTTAATCCCTGAAAACTGATTATTAGCATTACGTTCAGGTCAGTAAACAGGTCAACATGCTCTTTCGTTTGTCTACACGTTGTGTCGATGTATGTAGAATTACATAAGTAGTGACTGTGTTGGGATAAGATGCAACGTAGTAGGGGATTACACGGTATCGTTAACATATCAGGAGTAGACACTGTTTCAGTTATGTCAGGTAGTGGCGGATACTTTTTAAACAATGGCCAAGACATGAACCTGAATCGATGCACTAATCAAAGCACTATCTAATTATCGATAGTGCTAATTATCGTGTTTATGTTATTACAGATGTGAAGGCGCACGTTCGTTGTTTTCCTGAGAAAGATGTTGCGTGAGCAAAACAGATTAGGCACCGGTCGAATACACTCCTTTTTCAGCTCGCCAACAAATTTGTTTTTACTTTTGAGTTGGCTTGTCGTCTAAACCAGAGGTAGTTGATTATGTTTGATGGTCCAAATGTATGATCTTTTTATTAACCTCTGTTTCTGTTTGGCTCATATTATTTAACGTCAGGGATATATGGAACAACTTGTGATATTGCTGATTGAGACATGATTAAAACTTCAGTATGTCATTAGTTTTAATTTAAAACGTTTATTTGCACACATACAGTCACAAAAAGTGTACAAAAATGCTCAAAATAGTTGATTGAAGACCAAATTGTTCGACTATTGTGTTTGCTGTTGTGTCATCAGTTTTCCTTTAATGCCATGCCTTCACACAAAATGTGTTGAACAAGCCGTGATATTCGAAATATGCCAGAAGTAAAGACGTAAACCAAAAACGGTTTTGTTGACAGATTGATGCTATTCGGTAATTGTCCAACATATGCCATAAAACCTTCAACCACATCTCTTAAGGGTGATCTTTTCGATTTGTTTTCACGTATAATTATTCTTGTCACGACGTGCACTGCAACTCGACGGATGGGGGAAACCGATCAGATACTGTCTAATGCAATTTTCACTCACATACTCCAATGTCGGTGTTGGGACTCCACTTCCATTAGAACCTCTACACAGTCAACTCATACCTCTAAATGTTGTTAAATGCTATTCTTCTTCATGTATACATGAATTAATGAGAAAATGTAGACGAATGAAATGTAATTTGTTTATTTCAATGATTGGTTGTACATGAGTGAGTAACCACAGGGAGCTGTTTCTTGAAGGCCCGACTCTCAGTAGTAACCGTATCCCATACCTAAAAGAGACAAAACAATTACACAATTATCATGTGAGAAAACAGTGTGGAAAAGTAATGCTGTTTAGGCGTTCTTTACTATAAGTCTGAAAGACATTTTTACTTTGGGATAAATATCGTTTGGTTTCGATTTTTTATATTTTTTATATATTTCCTTTTTATTTCCATTTTTATGTTACAATTTCGATTTTTTATATTTTTTTAATTTTTTTTTTCAATTTCCATTTTTATGTTACAATTTCGATTTTTTGTCAAACAGGGACATTTCATGTATTGAAAAAAGAAAATAATCTGATGGTAACAACATCCGAACTTACCCCTTACCACTCATTCCCTTCGCAAATGTTTTATTTTTTAAATTTTATTTTTATTGATTCCATTTATGATGGATATATGATTTTCCACAAAGAATATTTCTTTTAGAGTTTTTATATATAAAGTTAGATTTGGAAGCATATTTTTAATACTGCATAAGTGAATATGTCTCTTCGCAGCAATGATGATGTGTGATTTAGTAGTGTATTTTCACGTTGAGTACCAAACCAAACCATGTTTTTTGATAATTTCAATGGATGTGGATAAAAATTGTTAGATTTATTCAAAAGGTTTGAATCTCCTGACATTCCCAGTACACATGACACACATTCTTATTTACATCTTTGCAAAAACAACCCAAACTGTTGTCAAGTTTTTTCATTTTGACCACTTCCTTTTTTGTGTAAATAATACCTTGTAGAAATCTTATATTGAAAGTCTATAAGCTTTGTATCTTGCAATCCCTTTCTATATACTGTAAATCAATCACTCAAAGTCAGTTTCAGGAAAAAAAAGCTGCCATTTATTGCAAATATTTGGATATTTATCATTACAAATAAGTTTATCATAAAAAATTCTGCAGCCTTTTGATGCTTTTACTAAATTTATCTGGTATTGGTTAGCATTCAAATTACTGACTGGAATAGAGAGACAGTGCTTTAAAGTATGTTTCCAAGATTCAGGTAATATGTTCACTAAATATCTGAAATCTAAGAAAGTACCTCTGATATGATAATTTTTTTTAAAGATTCTATTGATAGTAATCCATTCTCATCACATATATCCCTAATATTCATAATCCCTTTCTCTGCCCAATTCTTTATGAAATATATAGAGTTTTTGAAGTTGTGATTGAACCATAGTGGTTGGGATAGAATTTCGTTAATGTTATTTGGGTCAACATAATGTTGTTTGTAAAATAGTTTCCATGCTTATAGCACATCATGCCAAAAAAGGTGTTTTTTGAATCTCAATAAAAGTTTCAGAATTGCTCCAAAGTTAAATATATCTTTGAAAGCTATATTGCATGGATTTTTATTTTCTCATTTTTTAAAATATAATCTTAAGGTGGATAATTTCAAAGCATCAATAAATCTATTTGTATCAATCAATCTTAATCCTCCTTCTTCATATTTTTTTTTTATTACACCCCTCTTTATTTTATCATTTTTATCATTCCAAATGAATTTAAAAAATAGTGAGTGAGTGAGTGAGTTTAGTTTTACGCCGCACTCAGCAATATTCCAGCTATATGGCGGCGGTCTGTAAATAATCGAGTCTGGACCAGACAATCCAGTGATCAACAGCATGAGCATCGATCTGCACAATTGGGAACCGATGACATGTGTCAACCAAGTCAGCGAAACTGACCACCCGATCCCGTTAGTCGCCTCTTACGACAAGATAGTCGCCTTTTTATGGCAAGCACATGGGTTGCTGAAGACCTATTCTACCCCGGATCTTCACGGGTCTAAAAAATAGTTCTTCAAGTGAAGTAATAAATTCTGCTGGTGGGTTGGGCAAAGAATTGAAAATAAGTGAACTAGTTTGGAGATTGCTAGGGTTTTTATTGTACTGTTATTTTACCAATAAGTGTTAAATGTCTTTTTCTCCAAGATGCTAAGATTCTTCTTCCTCTTCTCTAAATCATCCATACTGAGGATCACTGAAAATGTTGTCTGCTAGCAAGTAAACAAAGGGAGATAACTCTTCACAAACTAATGAAAAAGGATTAACGGAGTTGTCTCTCTCGAATGAAACCAAGCACTTGATAGCTGGTCAAGGTTGTTTATACTAGAAATCCAATTAAATATATTCTTAAAATTCTCAATAATTTCTGGTCATACTATACATTTTTAACGAGTCTATAAATCCTTACCTTTCTTTCCAATTTTTTAAAAAGAAATCAATAGGAAATCCATCAGTCCCTTGGCTTTTATTATTCTTCATCTTGTAAACAGCATTGCTAATTTCCTCCATACTGATTTCTTTTTCAAGATTGTCTCTTAGTGTTTTGTTAAGAGTTGGAGTTTTTATGTCATTCAACGAGTGATTCAAGAAGTCTTCCTCCTTATTCTGTTCCTGAGCAGCATAGAGATGTTTATAAAATAACTTTACTTCATTAAGTATTGATTTACTGTCTGTAATTTCTTTATTATCATTAGTTATCAATTTATTGATTGATATTTTTGGAGAAATTTCTATTTTCCAAATGGCAGAAATATTTTGAAGGGTTTTCTCCTTCTTCGTACCAAAGAATTCTATTTCGGATTTGTATTCCATTCATTTCCTTATTTTTGATTTCTTCCATTTCTTTATTATACTTTGATGATTCACTAAGAAGTTCTTCATCTATGTTTTGAAAGTTTTTTCTAATAATGTCCTCAACCTGTTTTATTTTTAGTTCCAGTCCTTCTGTATTTTTAACTTTTTTTTTTATTTATGTAGGATGAGAAATATATAGTCTTTCCTCGAATTTTCATTAATAAAGTTTCTAGAAATAAGGAATCAGAAATTGTAAGATTAATATGATCAATGTTTTTAAAATCATAATTTTTTTCTGTTGAATATTCTTGAATAGTATAATTTAGGACAGTTCTGACTAAATTACCATATTCAGGGTTTAACAGTAAGGAACTATTAAACTTCCAACAGCCCCTTCCTCTTTCCTCGTTTAAAGTGTTCGAAAAGGTTAATGTTATTGTTGAGTGATCACTTTTATAGCCTGGCAGAATATCTGAATCCAACGTAATATCGAACATGTCTTCTGATACAATAGAGAAATCAAGTCTGGCTTGTTGTCTTGGGGTTTTCCCACAAGGTGTATTTTCTAGATTTATCATTCAACTTTCTCCAAATGTCAATAAGATTATACATTTCTATAAATTCTACTACAGTATTTCTCGATTTTGGGTTGTTTACATGCTTATAATTCTCAAGATCAATTGTGGGGTGAAGCACTCGGTTCCAGTCTCCCACTATTGCTAATGAATCATTTTCAAATTTTAAAATATTTTCAAATAGATTAACATAAAATTGAGGATCATCATTGTTAGGTCCATAGAGTTTAGTTAGTGTTATTCTTTTATCTTCTATTGAAATATCAGCAATAATATAATTGCCATTTTCATCTATTAAGGTCCTATGTATCATGATATCAGTATCATTATTAAAGAGTATGGCAACACCCCTAGCATTAGATTTGAAAGGAGCTATGATGGACTGTAAACCTCATTCATTTCTCATGATATTTGAGGTAGATTCATCAATATGAATATCTTGCAAGCATATTATGGAATATAATTTTTTCCTATATATATTCATCAATTCTTTTCTCTTAGGTTTATTTGCAAGACCTCTACAATTAGCGGAGATTAATTTGATTTTTTTATATTACTCATTGTCATTAAGGTTAATTTTCATAAGGAATGGTATCAGTACATGTCCAGTCTGTTTATCATTGCAAATTGAATGGTGAAATGACCGCTCAAACAATGCTGTGAGAAATCCTGAAATACAAGTATCACTATAGTGGTCTGAAGGGAACCATTTTTTCTTAACGAATGAAACGAATGTATAAACAGAAACATATGATTGCTAAAACAAAACAATTAGCCCACCATACTCCTAATCTTTGATATCACAGTGAAAGAAGAATAAGCCCCAAATGTGCAATCATGACATAGTCATAGTCAAAGTCGAAATACATCAAACGACGATACATACTGTCTTTGCTTGCTTGAGGCAAACTTATCTCAAACGTTCAATTCAATAATTGGAGTAACAATACATGGAATGCAGGTAATAATAATAATACGAACCTCAACTGAGTACACACATCCTACTGAATAAAAACATCCGGTAGTTAGTCCCGGAGTGAATGCGCTAAGTATAAATAGTACACCACGTTTACTTGTTTGTAAACATTGGACACGATAAGATAGAGTGTCCTTCTTGAAAACGTAACCCACAGAACACATTTCATTGTTTGATCGCCCCTTATATATATGCACACTTGAGTATATCATAATTAAGTCCAGCTAGTATGTAATTATTTGACATATTGATGTTTTTTCTTGAAACAAACAGCTAAATAGATAGCTAGACTCGGGCCTTATGCCACACAGTGTTACTCATCCATGAATAGGATATAAGACGGTCAGAGGGTTTCCTCCAGTCCAATTGTCCTCCAGGTGTGTTGTGCATTCCCTAATTTGGAGGGAAATGTCGATTCCTTTCTCAACTATTTTCCCATCGCAAATGTTGCATGTTACTGCAATTAGCAAAACTATGTACATACAACTTCTCTGTCCCTACAGCCACACTTTTTGTCATGTAAATACATTGAGTGATAGTCTCTTGTTATGATTATATAACGTAGAAAACGTACCAATTCCTTTGCCAAATCCCATTCCTCCGTACATGCCACCGTACAGTCCTCCCATGCCTCCGTGCAGTCCTCCCATGCCTCCGTACAATCCTCCAAAACCTCCATAAAGACCCATACCGCCGTACAGTCCTCCAAAGCCAAAGCCGCCCATGCCTCCGTACAGGCCTCCCATACCATAGCCAAGGCCACCAATGCCTCCGTACATGCCTATACCGTACCCCATGGGTTTGGCGTAAGTAGCAACAGCCAGACAGGCAACAAGGACGACGATAAGCTTCATCATTTTCGGAAGCTGTCAGTGAGAGTGAATGTGTTTTGTGATTAATTAATTACATCTTGTAACTGAAATTGAAAAACAAAGTTTGAACGGGGATGCACGTCTTAAACATGTAGCATTAAAGCGAAGTTTTGCTCATGCTTGGCCATGTATAATATAAGAAAATAGTGAATCTCTATGTTAGTTGCTTAGTTTAAGTTTATTTAAAGATTAAGGTGAACGGATGAAACGTTTCGAAAATACATAGAAAAAGATGTGTGGAGACTCATAGGCATTTACTTTTTGATTAATTATATCAATTCATAAAGTGGTGTTTACCAGGGTACTCACGGTTAGAAGTATGGAGCGACTGGTTGTTGTCAGGAAAATTCAGTGATCTTTCTACTTACAGCTTTCGCGTTTATATACTCAGCGTGTTTTCGGTTACCTGTGATTGATTTGTTTGGGAAGGACAACTTCCGGGTGTGTTGAAGGGCGTATAGCAAGTAACAAGTAAGAATGATGTAGAATTACAAACAAGCATACGTTTTATCCTTCGGGCTTATACAGAAATACTACCTAAATGCACAAGGAAGTGTGGAAAGTTTATTTTGAACATTTGTACAATGACAGAAATTTGACATGACATTCATGTTTTCTCAACCCAAATGTGACAAGGTGGTTAGACTTGAAATTTGTATAATTTTGTGAAATGAAAATAGTTTTAACTTTAGGTGTAGACCATGGGTCGGTCTTAAATGATTTTTGAAAATAGCAAACTCGCCTTTTAACTGTATATTAGCACTACAGAACATAGACAACAGTGTCTATGTTTAAGGAATTCCATTGACTTGAAAATTTAATATAAATACGAAATCCAAATGTTTCTCGATAGTATTTGTTTGACCGAGACCGACTTTACAAAATGTTTGCTTGACATTGCATTGTTAAGTATGAAAGGGAAAGTTCGTCCGTAGTAACACGAAAATATACAGGTACGTCCTCTGAACATCATCACGACACCTTTTCCAAACTACCAATTATACCATTAGCAAAAGTTTATGAACTTATAATTAGGATGCTACCTGGTGTTCGCGGAACGAGCTTATCCTGCCTCTCCGGTGGCACCCCTCACGAATAGATGTAAAAGTATGTTGCTCAACTGGAAATACACGGGAACATATATATAGAATAGAATGGGACATCATTTTAATCACAAGTCATATTTTGAAAGGTTCAAACATCCATTCGTTACTACATCCTTTGTCTTTTCTGACTCCGCAAGAATATTAAACACATAGATGTCCAAGTCTGCGAAGTTTGCACCTGGGCCGATTTGGTTCTGGTGAATTAAGTTAGTGAAGGTGGGGCTGGTAAATGCTAACTTGCCATGGGATTAGAACACCTAGGACTACAGGTTATTGCCTTTCGTTGCTAAATTACTTCATGGTATATGCTACATTCATACACAGACAGATACAAACACAGGCAGTCAGACAGACACATAAGCACAAACGCACAAACACATGCATCACGAAACAATAGGACTTTTGCTTTCAACACGTAAATCAAATGAACTTTCTAAATTGGCCAAAGTATAATATGTTTTTCTTATTCACAGGTGACAGGCTTCGAGGATGTGAAAGTATGAAAGTCAGTGATTACACCAGGTGTTCGGGGAAGAACATTCACGCCTCACACAATTTGCATAAGAAAGTGAGTGTATTTTAACTGCCAGACGCTGCATAGAAGTGCCCTTTCCACACGATGTTAATCCGTAACCAATCCTACCTCAAGGTCCTCTGCAATCCGTGCTTGTCGTAAGAGGCGACTAACGGGAACGGGAGGTCAGGTTCGCCGACTTGGTAGACACACGTCATAGTATCCCAATTGCGTTGATTGATGCTTGTGCTCTTGATCCCTGGATTGTCTGGTTTATTTACTGATCGCCGCCATATAGCTGGAATATTGCTGAGTGCGGCGCTAAACAACAAACCAACCAACCAACATAACCAACCCACCCTTGACTTTAGATATAACACGACACAGGGCATTAAATCAGTTTGTTCAAATATTCAGGTGCAAGTGATACTTACACGCCTGCTGAAACAGTCAAAGTCGGAGTAATTCCACACTTCTCAGATGAAAGATTGACTGATATAGAGACTGACCAGATCAAGAGTAGCCCCACCCTGCTCAGGTGTAAGAGCTTCTTAAAACCACACCTTAAGGCCCACACACTGACCCGAGATAAATGAACCTACATATTCCCACATTAAGCCAAAGACCCATGATTAACACACATTGCATGGAATCACCGTACACCGCTCAGTACCAATGTCGAGGTCAAACACATATTTGGAACTATTTCACAGATCAACATATGACAGAATGCAACTTATTGGGTCTCACGAGTATTGTTAAAACTTTCAGAAACTGAGGATGAATTCGTATGAACATAGAAAGGGTTTCGGCATTTAAGTTAAGAACACCGACAGGGAAGCTGACATTAATAATGATTTACCCTGACGGAACCGTTAGACTCTGTCTGATTCATGATTACAGCACATAATCTGATTTCCTCCAGCATATCTTGGCGGACGTCGCTGCCGTTAGGAAATTGTTGTGTTGAAAACATATGTCTTTGAGATAGGATACATTCTATTCTTTTTGCTAAATCAACGGTGTGATGTTAAAATCAAATTACAGCCTGTGATCATCGATTGTGAGGTTTTTCGCATATCGTGCGCTGGTATGATTTCTTATTTACAATTTGACACTGAAAAGATTTGTAATATTATAAAAAATGGAAAATATAATAAAACTGTGTTAAAAATGCGTTTTAATGACAATCTTGGGGAATACAGACAGTTAATACACTTAAACTAACACACTGGAATGTTTGGGGATAAAGAGAGCATCAAACAATAAGGTTCGTGCCAGCACGTGTGTGAATCTGTAACAGTATATGCATAGACGGAATCTACATCTGAAAATGATCCACCATTCTCACGCAAAGCAAAGATTTGAATCCCATGTGTCACAAGAGTTTGTAGGCGGAGTATGTTAAAGAATTACAGGCTGAAATATTTCCCTTATACTGGTTAAGATCCGGTATCAGGGACATGTGTGGTAAGTCATGTCTTCAAATATATATAATAAATTGGTCTGATTCACAAAGAGATAACTTTTGGGAGGTGATCTGTTATTTTCAAAACATATTATTCAAGTTCATCCTTTAAAAGTGTCAAGATTACATGTTTTGTTATATTCACTGCCTGTATGACTTGCGCCTGACAGGCAGCTGTTACTTTTGCTCTGACAATTATCTGCTATTTCACCTAGTTACACAGCTCTTTGAATCTGCAACACTTGTCCTGGTCATTTGTCTTGTGTTCAAGCATCTTTTTGGAATTTTTCAACTTTAAAACATGTACATATGAGTCAGTGTCAAGTACAATTGATAATATGTCTATCCTGTCTCATTAAAAAAGGATGGATGGAGGCCTTGAACAATGACAATATACCAATCAGTTGAGAAGCTTACTCTTGGTCACCTGTGATTGATCAACAAAGGATGATTGTCTACACAGAGGGACAACTACTTGCCTTCAACTATACATGTGCATATGGACATAGTCTACCAGTTGATGTCTTACATAAGGTGCGTCAGCTGGGAATAGGTGTACCAAAGCCTACATGTAGGCACAAGCGACTGTGTTTGAGGGATCTGATTCTGCTTCAAATGTTAAAACTGTGGATCATTCAAATCTGATTGCCGTACACCCTATAAAGAAATCACCACACTTGAAACTATGTTTGTAGAATGCACAGTCAGCCAGGAATAATTCCCTGTACATTGCTGATTCACTTATTGAACACAGTATGGATATTCTGTTCATCACAGAGTCATGGCTGAAGAGTCAAGGTGATGAGCCCAAGATTCAGGAAATGACTCCTTCTGCTTACTCTTTTCAAAATGTTCCACGCAAACATTCTTCTGGAGGAGGTGTGGCTGTTATTCATAAAACACTCTTGAACTTGGTAGTATATATAGAACTTCCACATATTCATATTCTTCTTTTGAAATGATGGAAACATTATTAACAGTAAATAGTCAAGCGCTACGCTTGTTCTGCCTATATATGCCACCGTCATCGAAGGCAAACAAGTTTTCCTTTGGCCAGTTTTATGATGATTTTTCAAAACTACTGGATGATATCACTTTGAAAAATGGAAACTTGCTATTGATGAGTGATTTTAACGTTCATTATGACAGTGCATGTAAATCCAGAAATGTGTCAAGCTGCTGGAGTCACATGGTCTTACCCAGTTTGTTTTTGAACCTACTCACAGGAACGGTCACACACTTGATTGGATAGTTGCTCGGCATCAAGAAGATGTGGTGCAAAACACCCTTGTTGAAGATAGACAATCATCTGATCACTTTGTTGTAGAACTCAATTTTCTCAAACCAGCTGAGAAACCTGTTGAAGTCCAGTGTAGGAACCTTAAGCTTGTTTCCCGTGAAGACTTTGCTAGGGATCTTCAGTCTTCAAAGTTACTCACAGAGCCACCAGAGGATGTGAATGAACTTGCTGATCTCTATAACACAACTCTTGGATTCTCATGCCCCTTGTGTCACAAGATACAGGCGACTCAGGCATGAACCACAATGGTACAATGATCAGATACTTCTCGCAGGCGAAGAGCGGAACGTAAGTGGAGAAAAAACAGGCTTGAAATTCATCGGCAGTTGTACAACATGGCTCGTAATGAATTAAACCTACTGATTCGTGATACAAAGTCACTATAATGCAATGATAATGTATTCTCCAATCAGCAGAATTTTTCCTTACTTGGAAAGACGTCAAACACTACTCTACCTAATGTAGAAGATGATTTGACTCTTGCAAACGACTTTGGCAAGTTCTTTTCTTCTAAGATATAGAAGATTAGGCAAGAATTTTCTCCTGAGTCAATTGCTGTAACTGGTGCACTCTTTCAAGGTGAGAGTTTTGATTCCT